CACCTGTCGAACGTTTGTTTATCCACATCAAACGCATCTGCTTCCAACTAATTTACTTACCTTGAATCACGTGATCAAAGATTCACAACATCTCAGATCCATCCAATATGGATAAACAAACGCAGCAAATGTAGTCTGAAAATGCAAAGATTGCAACGTGTTAACCCAATCATGATAATTTACCTGTTATTTAATCTAACACTTGCCAACCTTTCATCTTGTAGAATCCATATTGTAATTATTCTGATTTATAAACAAAGAAATACAAAAAAGGTATACCTACCTATTATAGACTTAGAAAATAATTTAAATCAAGATAAAAGTATATAGTGGTGTGAAATAGATAAACAATAAGAATTGGCCAGGATTAAATATCATGAGTATTCATATCACGAAGTTTTTAAATAAATTACTACTAAAAAAATGTAAAAGTTTTTTTTATGTTTTCCTACTAAATCTTCAAAAATAGAATTATATTTAGAAGAGATAAATTGACATCTGTACTGTATATAAAAATCAGAAAGGGCTTTTCAAATAGAATATGTCTTCTAACCCATTCATTTAAGTCAGAATTAGTAGAATTATTTATACGTTTAAATAGGCGTAGAATGTGTCTTGCTTAGATAAACAGAGCTATGATTGTAAATACGAGCAAAACTAAATTCGTTTCAAGACTTTCTACAATATTTTAGGCATACCAATTTTTCGTTAAATGCGTTTTTGTAATTCTTAGTTGTTTATGTATATTTATCGTACCCTGTAGTATTTATAAAAATTATCTAATATGAAATGAAACAAAATATATTCTAACTATGGCAATACATGTAAAATGCACCATATTTCAGAAACTGATATTCCTAATTTTTTGAACACGCTGTATAATTTATTTTGCAAAGCGTGAACAAACTATATACAAGTGTAATACATGACATAAGTTTCATGAAAAAAAACAAGAATTACTAAAGATTGGTGGATATATATTTGAAAATATAAATTCTACACTCCTTTTGAATCCTTTTAACGGCTCGCCCTGTAGAGCTGCCTACTTGAGGTCCATAACAAAGTTGCCCCTAATGATCTGAAAAATAACATACTAAAATTTGAACAAATTCTGTCAGTACCCAAAATCAATGTAAAAAGTGTGGGGTCCTTTAAAAAACACAAAAAATTACAGAAAAAGCACAATATAACCCAAAATGTCCTAAGTCACCAAACTTGACAAACGTAAAACCTCTAAATAAAAGTCATTGATGTGTTCAATTATTTAATTTCTTTTTTATATGAAATATTAAAAGTTTTAAACAAAATTTAACACAATATTTTTCAGAGAAGAGATCTAGCAACAGGTGAATATCGTCTCGCCAGAATTAATTGGAATTTGGTATATTTATTTATTTATTTATTTATTTATTTATAATAATACAATACTCTACAGGTCATAAACCCAATTACAGAGCAGGAATTGACAGAATATAATTATTAATAGATCACATTTTTTATATGAATGTTAAGCACATAGAAAGAACTTGTATTTCGTAATAGGTAACAAATTAACTAAGATAAAAAGTGAGATTTTATATCTGACAAATTGCAACTAAATATATCAAGTTCATTGACAATAGAATTTGTTACTGTACACATGGTATGGAGCGGAGAATTTTCCAGAACATTTGTGCGAGATGTATTTATATAAAAAGTATTCGGGTGTCTGGAAGAAATTCTGGGAATGCAAATATTAAACTTTTCTAATAAGGTTGGGCAGTCAATAATACTTTTAATAATTTTATAAGTTACTACTACACTATAATAATCACGCCTTCTATCGAGACTGAAAAAGTTATGCTTTTGTAGTAATTCAGAGTGAGGTGTACCTATTAGAGGATAAATGCCAACAGTTTTCAGGCTTAGCAGTTTTAAAAATCGTCTTTGAATTGCTTCTATTCGATCTATATGATACTGATAAAAGGGGCTCCACACAACTGAAGCATATTGTTAATAGGTTTGTTCGGGTTTCCTTAAAACTCGATGCAAACCGTCCGAGAACTAGTGGAACAGTTCAATTCTAAAGTATACGTCGCACACAACGATTAAACTGTCCACTGGTCAACTAGTCCTCTAATAGTTTTCAATGTATTTTAAAGAACCCGAACAGACCTATTATATACTGTTCACCTTTGAACTTTTTGTGTCCATCGTATAATGAGAGAATTAAAACCCAATTAAAATATTCCTTAGAAACCCTCAATATTCGGCACTTTAGAAATCACAGTCGTGCCATCCGACATCGGACATATGGTTGATATTCAAATCCTAAATGGTTCCTGGAACAGAGGAAATAACCCTGAGACAACTGGTCGTAAACTAAAACTGACCAGATTTGACGATAGTTGTACATTTTTATTTTTCTAAATCCGTTTGGGTACATTTTTTTTACAACTGGCCAATAAGCTTTTAACTACTTCCTGTTTTGATGCAAAAGGGATTATATACGGTATTTCTTCATTTATTTAAATTTAATTGTTGAATTTTCGCAAAACGTATAAATATATACAGGGAGTTCCAAAACAACTTGTAGATATGTACGAAGGTTGCATAATTACACTTTTGGTTAGTGATACATTTTTATTTTTTTTATATTTTGGTCCTACAAAGGATCAAGCCGCACGCACCACCCTGCAGTTAGAATTGGATATTACGATTTAGTTTGTGAGGGTCCATATTCCTTTCAGAGCAGCAAGAATATTTGATTGCTTCTAAATCACTCACACCACTAGTTGTTACAATTTTTTGGTAATATATCAACTGACCTTGGTCTAAGCAGCTTGCTATGTAGCAACTGTTTGATACAAAGTAGACCCCATAATATCCCTTAATCCTAATGTACTTGTCCCAGAGATGATGAGTTTAATATAGGTAATTAATTTTCTCCAGCCTCTTCAAACCATTTATTTAAAGTTGACATAACATCTCTGTCACTTGAAAATTTTCTTCCAGGCAAATGTTTTTTCAATTTCAGAAACAATCTGTAGGGTCAATTCTGGCGAATAGCGTGGATGTTCTACCAATTGGAATCATGCTTGATGAATAGCAGCCATTGCAACAAAGAGTTATGACTGGTAAGATTATATTAATAGAAGGGTACACACTTTTACCCAATTTCAATGTATAGGATGTTAAAAATTGTTCAAAATGACACACTTAGTCATTATCTACGGCTGCATTATCATGTAAAAATTGTGATAAGCAAGATACACAATAATTAAATTGTTTTTTTTTAACAAAAGCAAGGCCCTACCAAAAAATATTTATAGAGCTTGTGAGACATAAAAAAAGTCTCGACTTATTTTCTTTGATATATTTCCTAAAATTAGACATTTCAACTTCTTCTACACCTGTAAGAAACGAAAACAAAAACAAGAAGAACTCGTTTTTTTAAACCCCAACCCATACTTCTCATCTGCATTCAAATCAGAGGCAGAAAGAGAAACCCTTTTTTAAATAAAACAGAAATTCTATGAGTTGAGAGAACGAACCCAAAATTCTTGAGTGTGACCGCTATGGTGCTTATAGTGTATGATACAGTTGTGCTGCTATATATTCAGTCGGCGTGACAAAGAAGAACAATACATCAAATACCAGAAAGGGCGCCTCTCGGGTAGACCAAGCAAGAAATATAATTGGTCAACATTTTGTTTTTTTCTAATAGTAATCAATTCTTTATTTTATAAAGAATAATGGATAAAAATAAACTAATACAAAAGTATAAGATGGTTGTAAAAAATATATCCTATTATAGTAGAATCGCAATCAACACGGAGTAATAAATCAAAAAAAATTACGGGAGTTTTATCTCACAAGTGGCTCAACCAAAATTTTCCTTTGTAACAAGACGCTGATGCGCGTGAAAAAGATGTTAAGTTAAATTCGTCATTTTGTGGAAAATAGCAATTTAAAGAAATTCAACTTTATTATGTTAAAACTATTTTATGGATCTTTTTACTGACAAATACATATTCTTAATAGAGCAAAGCTGTTATGGATATAACAAGACGCATAAACAATTATAGAAAAAATATCAAAAAAAGTGCCTTTTGATTGACTTATCTCCTTTTAAGCAAAAGCCGCTATGACTTATTTCCATATTCACTTTGCACAATAATACTAGAGTGTGATTTTTATGAATAGTTTAGTCCTTTTCTTCAGAGGAGGCATCAGGGAATACATCAAACTGGTCACTTGCTGTTTGTTAATTTTTATAAAAATCTCAATTCCCATTAGAAATGTATGGAAGTAGCTCAATAAGGTTTTGTTTTTTTTTCAATTGTGATTGGAATAGGTTTTTCATAAGCAATTTTTGGAATATGCCGTTCCACCTGGTTTTCAGAACGAGCTCGTTTTTCAAAACTAAGTATTTTGAGTTCTTCATTTTCATCCAGGGAATTTTTGTGCAACAGTATATCTTTGTTCTTTTCATACCTGATCCATCTGACCTCTCCAATTGAATTTGTGACCCACGCTGTCTTGTTTTCTATTTACCAATGATTTGGAATATAGCCCCGAGAACTCAAAAAAATCTGTCATTTGCATTTCGTAAACTTCAAACGGTTTCTTTTTCCCTACTAAACGTATAAGTTGTGCCCAGTCATGGGGATGTTCAATTTTTAGAGTACTTCTTTTTTTTTTTTCAATAAGACTGTGATCTGTGTCACATTCCATATGGGTGTGTCCTGGTAAAAAATATTTATGGTCAAGTATGGACAACTTTGTAGAATCTTGCAAAGCCACAATGCAGGTAGCCAAAATAAAGCTATTTTTATTTTGACCCCCGCAAGAATCCGAGTACATGATAATATGGGTCACAGCAGGATCAAGATGACTTGTTAAGTAGCAGTAAATTCAAGAACCAATATTATTGCCAACTCTTTTTGCTAGGGATTCATACCAAAAAGAAAACAATAAGCCTGACCATCACCGCAATCGTGAACTGTGAGGTCGTACGTTCAAAGTTGTCGTTTGTAAAACGTTTCACCACTTTGCAGGTCTGGGGTCGGTAGACGCTGTTGTAAGTCAAAACATATCGTTTTCTTTTGGGGATTTGACATAGACGATGTTCTGCCTGCTTCTTTAGAGGTATAACCCATATCAGCCTGTTGTACCGCAATTTCAGTCTTCAAGCTGTTTTTTTCTTCATCGGTGCTGGCCATTGTTAATTTCATTTGGAGTTTGTCGCATGTACAACATGTATCCTTTTTCGGTTATTTAATCTTTATATTTAGGCTGTGAAAAATTGCTTCGAAAGCTTTCCTATTAATAAAATTCCCCGGATATTTTTCTTTGTAAGCTTGGTATAAAGAACTTAATGTATAATGTCTGGCAATTATGTTTTTCCTATTCTTATGAGTCCCCCTTTGATCCAAGCTTGTTATGCACGAGATACCGCTCTTTTTTTTCTTTAACAAAACTTCAATAAACTTATTACTTAAATCAAATGTTTTTTTAAAACATTCCTTTAGACTCTTTTTCCGAACTGTCTTATTCTTTTTGGTACAATATTCCTGTCCTGTATTGCGTTTTACTTTTCTGTCTCTTCGGATTTTTCGAGTTTTTTTTGACTTTTTTTGCTACCTGATTTGTATCATCATCTCTTGTTGGTTCTTCTTCATCAGCTGCTTGTTATACTGCATCGCCAAGTCTTTTTCGCTTTTTTGTGGTGCTGATTGACTCTCTTGAACATCTTCCAAATCATCATCATTAGAAACACAATCAGGATCGATATCATCGTCATCAGAGTTGAAAATTCCTGCAAACTGTTCCTGTATTTCTAAAGATAAAGAAGGCGCAGGCCTGGACCCTTCTGAATCTAAAAATGTTATTATTTTATAATGGTTTTAGAAAATAACAGGTTAAAGCTGAAACTTATTTGGACTCCTTTTTTGGAAAGACCACACAAGACACCATCTGATAACAGTGATTTTTTACATTCAACAAAATCAAATTTTCCATTAAAATTAGAAAAGCAAGCTAATGAGGATGAAGATCCAAAACAATTAGATCCTGATACGTTTCAGTTAGTATCGGTTCATCATTTCGAGTAAGCAAGACGAATTATCCGAAGAAGTGCCCCTTTCTAACACGATCCAGGTCTTTGGGCAAGTGTATTGTGTCCAATCCAGGTACGAGAACTTGTGGAAAAAGGTCCAATGCCTTATCAAAATAAAACTATGTATCCTAAACACAAAAGTGGACGTAAGTTTTTCGATATATATTTTACTCGAATTTTGTTAAATGGTGAAAAGGTTCAGCGTCATAGGTTGCTATATTCTATTGAAAAAAAATAAGTTTTCTGCTTCTGCGTAGAATATTCAATATGAAAGAGGGGTAGTAATTTCAATATTATAATATTGGTTAAAAGAGCCTATCATTATTTCACACGACGGCACTGAAAATATTGGCACATCCCTGCTTAATGATATCATCTTTCTTCCATGAAATATTTGGCACACGTTCAAATAGACGAAAATGGTAACTAGCATTATCCATTACTATAACTGAACCCTTTGGTAAATGTTCATCTGCTGAAAATATTCTTCAAAAACATCAGCGTTCATATCTTCATAGTAGTCTTCGGTTTTTTTAGATTGAAATATTAAAGAACCACGTTTTGAAAACCCGTCATTACTTCCAATATGAGTTATAATTAGACGTTGTCTTTTTCCGTAAGAAACCTTCAAGAATAATCAAACAGGATAGGTAAAATTGGGAATTGATCAAGATACTAACTGCAACTGCCTATCTTATCTTCATACCAAATCCTAGGTAGGTAACCATCTTATAATCCTACCCCCTTTTTATCATTTTGGTTTTTCCATGGCATTAGTAATCTCCAAGAAGATGATAAAATAACGATTAACCCTTAGGTTATAGATTTCTATAATCCAAGGATTTATCCCATTTACATTTATACAATATAGTCACATTTATAGATTTTGAACCCTTAGATTTCTTTTTATAATCTAAGCTGAAACCTTAGATAAAAGAGACCAGAGATATAACATACACCGGTTTTAAACCTGCGCAAATGTTGCCAATTTCTAAAGAATGGTTAACGGAGTGGGGGAACTGGGCGGCGACCCGAACTCTGTGACAGGGACCGGACTTTGTTTATTAGCATCTTAATGAACTATTAGGTTTATTTAAAAGGTGTTTAATCGAATTTTGTATTATGAAATAAAATTAACGTGATTTTTTAATATCAAACAGATGTCACGACATTTTATGTAAAGAGAAGACCTTTTATAGAATATTTCGTTAGCGTTTATTTACTACGGACTTTTCTGCAAGAGATTACAGTAAAATGTTGAAATAGAATATATTGTTAATAGAGCAAAAAATGTTACTCATTGTCTACGAGTATTATAAAAATAGCATGTGCGCAGGCTAATACTGCAAATCTACCCTTATGAGTTGAACATTATATTTTTTCTACGGCTATTACATATTATTAAAAATTAGTCAAAATGAGAAAATGCTGTTTTGTATTGTAACCTCAGAAAAAAGTATATTAAGGCTTCTTTCTTTAAGAATATTAATTATTATAAAGGATGAGTCACATAAAACTCTAGAAATGCATATGTCTGAAACCAGATAACATTTTAAAATTTAAATCTATTAAAAGTCATTTGGTCGCTAGGGATAAGTGATTATCGAAATAAATTATCTATCATTGAAAATAAACGATTATTTTCGATCAATAGATTATTTTCAAACAATATATTTTTTGTCATTTCCTTTAAAATCGACTACTTGATTATCTTTGAAAAATCAAAAATAATCGATTAATTAAAAAGCCAATTAACCGATAAATCAGTGTTTACAAAATATAATATAAATAGAATTATCGTTTATTTTAAATAATCGATTATTTTCAAATAAACCATTTTTTTTCGTCCATGGAAACAGATTATTCTTATATCTTTGAAAAATCGAAAATAATCGATTAATCAAAAATAATCGATTAATCAAAAATAATCGATTAATTAAAAAGTTGATTAACTGATAAATCGATTTAAAAAAAAACAGAATGATCGATTATTTTAAATAATTGATTATTTTCGATCAATCGATTATTATCAATAATCTATTTTTATTGTATTTTCTTTAAAATCGTTAATTCGATTATCTTTGAAATACCGAAAATAATCGATAATTCCAAAATAATCGCCTAATCGAAAATAATCAATTAATTAAGAAGCCGATTCTATGATAAATCGATTATTACCAATAATCTATTTTATTGTATTTCAAAAATAATCGATTAATTAAAAAGTCGATTAACTGACAAATCGATTTTCAAAAAAAAAACAGAATGATCGATTATTTTAAATAATCGATAATTTTCGATCAATCGATTATTATCAATAATCTATTTTTATTGTATTTCCTTTAAAATCGATAATTCGATTATCTTTGAAATACCAAAAATAATCAATAATTCCAAAATAATCGCCTAATCGAAAATAACCAATTAATTAAGAAGCCGATTCCATGATAAATCGATTTTCCAAAAAATAAAACGAATTATCTATTATTTTCTAATAATCCTTTTTTCATATTTCCTTTTATTTGAAATTGATTATTCGATTATCGAAAATAATTGATTATTAAAAAGCTGATTATCCAATAAATCGATAATTTTAAAAAAATAACCAAAATATCGATTATGTAAAATAACCGATTATATCCAATCGATTATTTTCATATAATATCTTTGAAAAATCGAAAATAATCAAATAATTAAAAAACCGATTAAACGATAAATCGATTATTTTGAATAAATCTACTTTTTTTGTATTTCCTTTAAAATCGATTAATACATTATCTTAAAAAAAACGAAAATAATTTATTAAAAACAGCGGATAAATCGATTTTCATTAAAAACTATCAGAATTATCGATAAATCGATTATTTTTGTAACCCCTATCGGTCGCTTGCTTTTATCTGAGCATTTAGCTCCAAAATTTAGAGATTCGGATTTTTTGATCCAGTTATCTTTGAAATCGCATTCGATTGTATAATAAATAAATATTGCTAAATTTTGGATTTTTTTTAGGAAACGAAAATTATGTTCGAGTTGTTTAGGGGTTTGTAATGTAACATTTTATTAACGTGACTAAGGGTCGATTCCACCGTTGTGTTAAACGAAGTTTAAAATGACATTTTTACATTAACACTGTCATTTAACGCTCGTATGCACCGTACACTAGACTTGTACTTGCTCGTTCACTCAGCTGATTCGTTCAATCTCGTTCACTGAATGAAGTGAACTAGTTCGTTCAAATCGTTCAATAGTTCAGTTGGATCTTTTAACAGAATGAGCGGTGACTCGATGAGTGATACGAGAATGTGAGTTCTGAACGATATATAAAAATAAATAAATGAAATTTGCAAAACATTTAAAAAATTATTTACCTAATAATTAAAACAAACTTTAAAAAATAAAATAAAAAAAAACAAAATAAAAAATAAAATAAAAAAAACAAAATAAAAAATGAAATTGGCAGTATCCGGAATTATTTACATTACAATTCACATATTGTTGTGCAGAAAAAGGAGACTAGATACTCTTTCTGATTTTAATAGAGTTCTTCTTTCGTTAAGAATCTGCCCAGCATTTGAAAAAACTCTCTCGCAAGGCACAGAGGTGGCAATAATGCAAAGTCTTTTTAACATATAATTGTATAAAAGAGGATAAAAAGGCCTCCTTTGATGCCACCATTGCAATGGATCAGTTGACCTAGGGACAATATCTTCATTGAGATATTTATCAAGCTCAATGATTGCGGCTGCAGTGGTATTTTGAGGCTTTAAAAGATCAATTTCGGCATCAAAAGTGTCCCACACAATATTTTTTTTCTGTACCTGTGTGGTGGTGGTGGTGTTGGACTTGGACGAAAAAACAGATGTTGATGTGGTACTTGCTTGTGTTGGTACTGCACCAAGACGTTTTCTCAAGCCAATAACAGCCTTATCAAATTTGGATACATTTTTAAAGCCTCTTTTTTTGAATCGAGGGTCAAGAATAGTACTTTCTGAATAGAGAGGTTCGTTTTCATAATCTTGAAATCTAGTTAAAATACCTTCTTGTATAGCGTAAAGCATTTCCATAATTTCAGTTATTGGCTGTTGACATTCTTGATGATTTTTTATAGTTTGTGCGACATTTTGCGTCATTATTTTAATAAAAACTATTACTTTAGACAAACTTACTGTTTTTTCACTACTTATTTCTGTAGTAATTCCATAAAATATTTCTAAGATATTGACTGATTCCTCTATTATAATCCAATCACTGTCTAGGAGAATAAGATCACTTTTTAAAAGTGCAATTGTTGCTATTACTGCCTCTTTTATTTTTACAATACGACTTAACATATCGTATGTTGAGTTCCACCTCGTCACAACATCTTGTTTAATTTTGAGGAGTGGAAGTCCCATCTGTTGCTGGGTGTCACTTAATTTTTTTTGTGCTTGAGTGCTTCGTTTAAAATATTCTACAATGCGTTTTACTTTAATTAGCTGGTTATTTATGGGAACAGTACCGGTCCTGACGATTAAATTTAATAAGTGTGCAAAGCAACCAATTGACCTCCACTCTCCTACACGAACTGCTGCTAATATATTTGAAGCATTATCTGAAACTACAGCACCTATTTTATTACATATGTTCCATTTATTAAACATTTCCTTTAAAAAACTACACAAATTATCAGCCGTATGTCTTTCATCGTATTGTATACAACCAAGAGTACATGAACAAAGTTTTGTTTCACTATTTATAAAGTGAGCCGTGACAGCTATAAAACTATCATTGTTCCGGGATGTCCAACCATCGGTTGTAATACAAACTGCTTTTGCAGATATTAATTTTTCTTTTATATCTTCCGAAATACTATTTTCGACAGTAGTCATTAAATTATTAGACAGTGATTTTCTTGTCGGTGGTTGGTATCCAGGACAAAATGACACCATTTCAATAAGTTTTCTGAATTCTGGTTCTTCTACAATTCTAAAAGCATGATGACCCTTAGCAATCATTTTTAACATCTGCCTGTCGATTTGTTCAGTTTTACGAGCTGGAGGTGGTTTTCGTATAAAATGAGTAATGGTAGGTTGATTTGAGGTTACTCGAAGTACACATGTTTGTGATGAAGATGAAGATTGAACTTGAGGATTATTCTTCACCTCTACGGTTTCATTATTCATTTGCTGCACTTCATTTAGTTCAAGTAAGTTTTCAAGTCTTTCAGATTGAACTAAAATGGTAGGATGTTTACTTTTTAAATGTCTATTTAAATTTCCCACAGAACCACTCGCTATACTTATAGGCTGATGACAATAATTGCACTTCGCCAATTTTTTATTTTCATTTTCACTAAAATGAGCCCATACGGCACTGTATTTTCTTCGTGGAGGCATACTTCAATTAAAAAACGTTTACAACACTAATCTATAGAATTGTAAACAACAACAACAACAACAACAACAACAACAACAACAACAACAAAGCATTTGGGAATCCCAAGATGCGAATTGAAACAATATTTTTAAGCAATACGTATTAATACATTCCTAAAGCAGATAACCAATAATACAAACTAATGTATTATGTGTTGCCTATACCAGTAGACAATCAAAAAATGTAAAGAAGGTCATACGATTCATAGGAAGGAAACTGTTTTCGTTCGTTCGGTTCAACTGAACTACTGAGCTATGTGATCGAGTCGTTCTGAACTAGTTCAATTAGTTCATTAAAGAGATATGCTTCTTTGAACTAGTTCGTTCGTGAACTACCCAAGCCTACCGTACACGTTTAATCTAGATAAAGGGTTTAATCGCGTTTAGTACCATAGCTAAAAATGGTACTAAACGCGATTAAACCCTTGACCTGGATTAAACGTGTATGGTGCATACGGGCGTTAATCTCCGTTTAACACAATGGTGGAATCGGACCTAACTCCTGTAACTTTAGTATTTTTTTTTGCTTATACTAGATTACTTTGTTTTAAGACTGAAAATTCAATGTCACTTTCGATTTGACCGCAAATAAGATGAACCTTGAAATTTTAAGTAGGTCATCCTGTATTTCATCTAATATTCTTATAAAAATACCTTATAAAAATAAAATTTAGCTAGCAACTATGATTCTTTACCTCTTATTTATCTACCAAAAAGGGCTAAAAACTACCTTTAGAAAACATTCTTATAAAACTACTTTTTAAATACAAAATTTTGTTAGCAATAATGCCTATTTACTATTTATTTAAATTAAATGTTCAACATTTTACCCTTTTGTAAATTTATGTAAGTAATATGAAATCTGATTTCTCATGCTTAATATTTATTGAAACCCCTTAATGCGGATCTGGAGTATTCATCCCAGAGAAACATGGCGCTTTATGTCAAAACGTTAATAAATATTTACCGCTGAAAACGAATATATTCATAACAGTAGTACTTGTATTATAAGTACATACAATTTTTCAAGATACATCGTCACATTTTGAACTTGAAATTGAATAACTAGAATACTTTAAATTGCTAAAATACCAACAAATAAATCAAAAAACAGCTGTCAATGGTGATTAAACTCAGGTGGAGGTGTGATCGCTGAACGGAAATCGGAGCAATTCGGGTGGCGTCGTGCAACAATGATTTTCAATTGGTGGGTTACTTTGACTTAAAATAGACAACATGCGCAGTGTGCAATGTTACATCTTCGGTCTCTTTAATCTAAGGCTGAAACCTATCTCTCCACTTGTCATTAACTATTACCCTGTAAATAATAATATAGGCACCCACACCTGAAATTTCTTGATCTGACAGATTTATTACTCCGGCACGATCATGAATCTACTATATAAAGTATTTCTTTCCTCTTCTAAAAAAATACTTTGTATGTCGACATCTTCAAGACACTTTAACTCTAAATTATTTATTGTTTCGGCCTTTACTTGATGAAAATCCATTTTATCTTGAATGAGTAAAACCAAATTTGGTAGATTTTCACAAAACTTTTATTTTAAAATATAAAAATTAAAAACACTACCCATGACATGTTTCGAAGTACAACTTCTTTTTCAAATGTGACTAATTTACAATTCGGTATCCAATATATATGCGAAATAATTGAACAAAACAAAGTACTTAAGAAAACGTCAATAACATAACAAAATAAACTAACTATTTAAAGTAAATAAGGGTACTTAGGTAATTATGATATCAATCAAATAACAATAAGATAGTAATCCCGGTAATCTTATTGTTATTTGATTGATATCATAATTACCTAAGTACCCTTATTTACTTTAAATAGTTACTTTATTTTGTTATGTTATTGATGTTTTCTTAAGTACTTTGTTTTGTTCAATTATTTCGCATATATATTGGATACCGAATTGTAAATTAGTCACATTTGAAAAAGAAGTTGTACTTCGAAACATGTCATGTGTAGTGTTTTTAATTTTTATTTTTTAAAATAAAAGTTTTGTGAAAATCTACCAAATTTGGTTTTACTCATTCAAGACTCTAACTCTAACCCACGCCCAACTTTCAGTGCAGTTGAACCGCGCCCGCAAAAATGCTGTTTGTTTACCCAGAAATTCGAATAGGTTTACGCACCTGTTCGATAATAATTGGTGGTCTACATTTAAACAGGCACCGTGTTCGACACCCGTTCATGACTTATGTGCCAGATAAAATTAGAGATTAGCTCTAATTTGCTGATTAAACGTTTTTGCTGGCAGATTGCGAGCGGACTGACTCAACAAGGGGTTGTTTTCTGCTTCAGAACCAACTGGTTTTACAGTACATTAGACATTTGAGTATTGGAGTTAAAAACATAATAATTATTAACGATAATAATAGAGTAGTACAGAGAGGACAGTAAACAATTTTTTTGTCGCCTTGATATCGCATGAAAGATTCTAATTAGAGAGAAATAGATTAATATATCTATCTCTATATTTATTTTTCAAGTTATTTTTAGACAATTTTTTAAGTTTTTACTTAAATTCGTTCAAGTATGGCGGTGTTAAAAGTGACTTTGATTTGTAGGGTTTATTTTATACCTACTAGGAAAAGACTTGTGTTTTATGTGATTTTAAATATAAAAGACGAAGTGAGGTTACGTTTCACTCGTTAATATTATTTCTTACCAAAGAACATGGGCGTCGTTTTAGGAGAAAAAAGGAAAATAAAATATGCATATTAAAAAAAATAAAATTATTATTAGTGTTCTAAAATACGAATTAGAAGAAACTTATGGTTAGAGGCACTTGAATGGACTGAAATGTTAGAAGTTGAACGAATATATTACATTTGTTCAATGCACTTTTTAGAGGACAAATATATTTATAAGTTTGTACGTTTCTAAATAATATCGAGCACTTTTAAAGATTGTATCTTTACTTTTTAGGAACTTTGTATTACACAAACAAAGTAGGAAAAAAAGAGTAGTGGTATACCTATGTCACCTAAAGAAAAATAGAAGGTATTGTGTTTAATAAATTTGGCGAAGCAATAATATGTTTGAATGTTTTTAGTATAGTAATTTCTTCACATACTATTATTAATGAATTGAGAGGCAAAAGTACCCATAAATCATGCAATGCAAATATAGATCCTAACGATTTCAATACATTTTATTGCAATATCGCTAAAAATTTAACATAAAATCTAAATAGAACAACTGACCCATTAGAATTTGTAAAATCGTCACCAATTAAATATTCATTTTTCTTAAGAGAAACAAATTCCTTAGAAATATTAAAAGTTTGTAATGACATACACAACAAAACTACATCAGGACATGATGGAATGTCAGTAAAAATATTTCAGAACTTACCTACCTCTGCATTAGACGTTTTATCCATTTTAATAAATAAAAGTTTTATTGAAAGTACTTTTCCTCCTTTTCTTAAAACAAGTGTTGTGGTTCCATTATATAAGGGAGGAGACTTGACTGAGCCATCTAATTTTAGGCCCATATCTCTAATTCCGACACTCGGAAAAATTATTGAGAAACTTGTAAAAACTCGACTAGTTAGATATCTAGACCAAAATAATATATTGGACATAAATCAATTCGGTTTTCAACACAACAAAAACGTATCGGACGATGTTTCTTCTTGTTTAAATTTCAACGAGGCCGTAGTTGCAGTATTTTGTGATCTGACTAAAGCTTTTGACTGTGTCAACCATGGAGTACTGCTGCAAAAGCTTGAAATTTATGGCATAAGAGATGTGGCCTTGAGTTGGATGAAATCCTACCTTTTAGGTCGCAAACAGTTAGTCCGAACCGTTTTAGACTCGAACACAAGTGACATAAAATGGGGTGTCCCTCAAGGTTCTGTTCTTGGGCCCACCCTGTTTTTAATTTATTTATAATTTATCAATGATTTAGGTAAGTTAAATATCTCAGGAAGCTTCACTCTATTTGCTGACGATACTACGATCTTGTGGCACAATAAAGACGTCAATATTCTTTATGCAAATATTAGTAATGACCTAAAATCCTTTAAAACATGGTGCACTGCAAATTTTCTGTCATTAAATTTTAAAAAAACAAAAATACTAACCTTTAAATGTAATGTTCCTGATATTTTATTAGATATGGATACTGTAGAAGCCACAAACTGTACAAAATTTTTGGGTTTAAATATCGACATGGATTTGAAATTCAAATCTCATGTGGATTCACTTTTAAAAAAATTCGCATCGCATAACAACCCATGCCATTAGAACCACCTCTCATGAATTGGGAGTTTGTGCAGCAAAAACTGCATATTATGCGTTAGTTGACTCTCATTTACGTTATACTGTTCAGTTTTGGGGAGTCTGTTCTGCCGAGTTATTTGACAGAGTCTTTATAATTCAGAAACGGGCAATAAGGTTCTTATGTGGAGCACACAGATTAGTTTCATGCAGACCGCTGTTCTTAAAACAAGAAATATTAACATTAACATCTTTATTTATCTTAGAAACTTGTTGCATGATCCATAAGAACAAGTCGAAATATAAATCGAATACATCCCGTGTAACTCGCCAAACGGGTAACTTGAAGTTGCCTATTCCCAAAACTGAACTAATAAGAGACTCTTTCATATACAATGGTATCAAAATGTACAATAGGCTATCACATACGTTGACAGATGTTGAGTCACAGAATTGTTTTAGAAAGGTGCTCAAGAGATTTCTGTTAACTAGGCCTTATTATAATATTATAGAATTTTATAATGACGAGACATTGTGATATGTGTTTTATTTTGTTTTGTTTTATTTTATTTTAGATGTATGTATTAATGTTAATTTATAATAATGTTTGTTTATATTTTAATGACTATTTATTTATTTGTAATTTGTACAATATTGTGTTTGTCAATAAGTATTTTAACTTGGACAATAAACATATATTCTCT